CTGGACTAAGAATCAAAGGGACATGAGACAGATTAAAAGGAGAAAATAAAATTTAATGACCTAGATTCAGGGAATCCAGGCAGACAAGAAAGTCCAAAGATAGGCACAACCAGTTATGTATGTCATTCTGAACTAAGGAGTGGGGGGAGAGGGGTCTGGGACTTCAAAGGGAAGAAAAGCAATTCATATTTGAAAAAGAATAAATGTTTGTTGTAAACAAGTGTTGGCTGGGCCCCTTAGAAACAGGGGGGCATAGAAGACTTTGATCACGCAGGTCTTGCTGGTTCCCTCTCTGTCTGCCGTACCTAGGTCATAGTATAAGGTACTTGTGCTTGGTGATAGCTCCCTTCCTATAGAAATTCCTTTATCTACATTCTTTTCAGGCAATTGAGGGGGAGATAGAGAACTTTTCTTGAATCTTCTGGGTATTGATTACTTTTCATTTATTTATGTTTTTAAATGTTTATTTATATCTTTTGAGAGAGGGGGTGCATGTGGTGCCCAAGCAGGGGAGGGGCAGAGGGAGAGAGAGAGGGAGAGAGAAAATTGCAAGCAGGATCTGGGCTGCCAGTGCAGAGTCTAACTCGGGGCTCGATCCCACAAATAAATAGTAAGATCATGACCTGGGCTGAAATCAAGAGCAGGATACTTAACCCACTGAGCCACCCAAGTGCCCCTTGATTGCTTAAAAATGTTGTTTTAAATGTTTATTTATTTTTGAGAGAGACAGAGAGATCTGGGGAGGGGCAGAGGGAGATACAGAATCTGAAGCAGACTCCAGGCTCTGAGCTGTCAGCACAGAGTCCAACATGGGGCTTGAACTCATGCATGAACTCAATGAGATCATGACCTGAGCGGAAGTTGAATGCTTAGCCAACTTTGCCACCCAGACACCTCAAATGTTTATTTATTTTTGAGAGAGAGAGAGAGAGAGAGAGAGAGAGAGAGAGACAGCGAGAGAGACAGAGAGAGACAGAGTGCAAATGCGGGAAGGGCAGTGAGAGACAGAGACACAGAATCTGAAGCAGGATCTAGGCTCTGAGCTGTCAGCACAGAGACCAATGTAGGGTTTGAACTGGTGAACTGTGAGATTGTGACCTGAGTCGAGATCGGATGCTTAACCATACGATTATGAGCCATAGAGGTGTCATATAATTGCTTTTTAATTCAAAATAATCTTCATGACAAAGTGGCCCATTTCACAGTGACCTGCCCTTGGCCCCTACAAGTCTATGTTCCCTCTTCTTATACCAGAGTGGGTCTTTGAGAATGGCCTCGATGGACAGAATGAGGTGGAAGTAGTATGGCCCAACTTTCAAGGCTAGGTCATACGGCTAGCTTATGCCTGGCTCCCTCCTGGGACACTTGCCCTTGGCATCCAGTGACCGTGTTGTGAGCAAGACCGGGTCATGTGTGGGAATTTTGAACTATATGCGTATATCATTTATATTCCAAATATATGTAAATATAAACATACATATAAATACGCATACATGTATATGCATGTAGAAATTTAGATCTCTGTTGGCATGACTCATTAATGACCTGACCCTACAAATATTTTGGAGATCCTACCAGTGTGCGAGCTGATAAGTCTTCAATGGTGAACGAGTCAGCCATCAGCTGACGTCAGAAGAGGGAGACTTCAGGAAGACATACATTGGAGAGCTAAGCCCCTTGGTCTGGGATCACTCACTGCTGTAAGTGCATTGAAGAGAGAGCACCTAGGGCTGGGAAAGAGGGTGGTGGGGTTGGGGTAGGGCCTGGTTCAGAAGGGGAAGCCAGGAAAAGCCTCTCTAAGGAAGGGATGTTTAGGCTGACCGGGAACTGGCCAAGTTTCTGGTGATGTATTGCTACAGCTTTATCTATCCCAAAGCTTGCAGGCTTGAAATAACAACCATTTTATTATTTCCTACCAATGTTGCCATCTGAAATCCAGGCAGGCCTGGACTGGGCAATTAAAGCGGTCACAGACCCACCTAGATTCAAGGACAGGGCCGGAGACCCCACCTCTCCACCAGAGGAGTGTCAGAATTTTCAGCCAGCTTTAACCCAGCACACCAGGGGATGTGGAAGGAGCCCAGCGCTTGCGATGAGAGAAGGTGCAGAGAGAAGGGCGGAAGCAAGCTCCTGCAGATCCTTGAAAGGTGTGTTAAGGATTTTGCATTTTCTCTTCCGTACAATATGAAGCCACCTAGGAGTTTTAAGCAAGGAGGTGAGCTATTCCTTGTGCTTCTGAAGTTTATCGCTTATAGCTTCTGTGCCTGTTATTATGCTCATTTCATTGACTTAGTCTGGCAGAGGCTGGGATACCTTTGCATTCTGCTCACTGCAAACTCTCGGGGAAATAAATGTGAAATACATAAATGAATCGGTTAAATAACTGATCATCGAAAACGGCTATCATTGTAGGTCATTAGTTTAGTGATTCTCAAATGTTAACGTGTCTGTGAATCTCTGGAGGATCTTGTTTATATGTAGGCTCTGATTCAGTGGGTCTGGGTGACCTGAAATGAGTGTTTAGAAATCACTGTGTGTCAGAACAGTTTCAGTTGGAAGGAGGAGATCATGGGATGCGGGCACCAGACAAGCAGAGGTGAGATGATGTCATGCAGGTCCAGAATTGTCTTCCTGTCTCCTTGTCCTGGTCATCCTCCTCACCAGCTTCACCTTCATGCCCAGGCCCCTCCTGGCCTCTGATGACTGCTGTATTTCCAAGGAATCACTTCTGGATACCACAATGTCCAGAAAGAGAAAGATACTGCGCTTATGAAAGATTCTCTATTTATGTATTTTCCAGGGGTCCCCCAGAAGTCTTACCCTAATGTCTCTGTGGCCAGAATTGGGTTACATACTCAACAGGAAATCAGCCATGGACAAGAGGACAGAGGGCTCCATGACTGGCATAGACTAACGGGCGTCCACTGCTAGAAGTGGGGATCTGGGGATCAGGGGCTGGGGAGAAGCCTGAGGAGAGCTGAAAGGTGGGGGTGGACAAGCAGCCAGGTCCACTGCACTATAATATGCACTTTGGCGACTTATGCAGAGACCTCCATAGTCTGTCTATATCCACATCTATATATCTATGTTTATGTCTATCTCTACATATAAAATAGGGAATTTGGCAAATTTACCGAAGGAAAAAAATTAAACAAATGACAAAGCGTTACCAAAGACCCGTTAGCAACCGCATGGAAACAAGCATTTGATGATTCAATTGGGAGTGGAAAGGTCTGGGACTGGGCAACACAGCATTTGATCTAAAATCTACAACTTTGTTGGGGCAACAAAACAGAAAAAACTAAAACAACCTACTGTATAAGCAGATGGATTTTTTTTTCATCCACTTGGCCAACGGTTACTGGGTAATCACCATAAACAAAGATCTGTGTCAAGGGCTGTGGGCGATCCGAAGATATGGCACAGTCCCCTCCTGATAAGAATTTCACAGTTTAAGACACACAAGTAATAACGGGTACAACATATAAAAAGAAAGTGCCAACAAAGATGATAGAACAAAATGTATGGATCCCAGAGGAAGGAGACAGTCCTGGCTCAGAGGACTTTGCAGAGGGTAGAAGATGGGCCATCTCTAGCACCAGCCTTGAAAGATGGGCAGATTTTTAATCAGTGATGATGGCGGGGGGTGGGGGGGAGGGATTGGAAAATAGGAAGATGGGAAAAGTGAATATTCCCAGTGTGTGTGTGTGTGTGTGTGTGTGTGTGTGTGTGTGTGTTGTAGGGGGGAAACCACATAGAACACAAGTGATGTGGGTATGGGAAAGGCAGATATTCCTATTGGATTCATACTATAATTTCTTATCAATAAGAAGCCATAAAGTGTCAGGTCATACAATGAAAAAAAACGACACAAGGACAACTCCTGGGAAGACAGAAGCCCAAGCTGTGTGTGTAAGGAATAATGTCCATGGGGGATCAGGGTGGAGTAGACAGGGCAGGAAGTGGGGGAGGGGAGGGGGAGGGACGGGGGAGGGGCAGGTCCAGGTGCATGGTGTATCACTCCTAAATATCAGTATCAGAACAGAAACAGTTTCTTCAGTAAGTTGCAACCACAACAAGAAGATATGGAGGGAGAATATGTTGATTAAAAGACACCCAAAGACAAATCAGTCCATTGTAATGTGTGGATTTTATTCCAATTCTGATTCAGCCTGGCAACTCAAATATAGCATGTAAGTCATTTGTGGGACAACTGAGTACTGGGTAAGTGAAGATGTTAAATCATTGTAACTTTTTAAGGTACTGGCGTTGTGGTTATGTTTTCTTAAAGAGTTTTTCTCTTTTGGAGGTATATTTATGGGTGAAATGATGCCTGAGATTTTCTTCAAAATAATTCAAGGAGTAGGGGAAAGGTGTAGACGAAACAAAGATTGGCTGTGATCTGATCGTTGTTACAGAAGAGTGTTGAAGCTTCACCGTATTAGTTGCCTACCTTCGTATATGTTTGAAATTTACCGTAACAGAAAACGGAAAACAAAGCATATTGAAGAATTAAGTGATCCGGTGAATGAAAGTCGGTCGGGAAGCTCCGCCCTCTGAGCTTGGGAGGCCCCGCCCCTTAGGGCCAGCCGCTCTCCCGCCCTCTGCTCTCGCAAGGTTACAGTTTGTACGTTTTTGTACTTTTATGACTTTCCCATTTCCCTTCGGAAACCCATTGTCCTCGCACCTCCAAAGTCGCTCTCTCTGTTGTTGCCTAGGTCCCACAGACTCGCTTTGAGTCCCCAGAAGTCACCTGCGGCCTCCGGACCTCAAGCCGCTGCCGCCCGGTTCCACACCCCCTCTCCGGGGAGTTTGGTCGCGTCCGGCCGCTGACCCCGGGAGCGCGTCCTGGTTGTCATGGCGACGCCGCAAGGTGAAACTGGCGCACGCGCTGGCCGAATCCCTGCCCCGGAACCATCTCCTGAGTGAGCGGCCTGGGACCTGGGGCTGGCGGGTGGGGGGACCCTCGGCCGCCGCTGAGCTGCTGAGGCTGCCTGAACCCCGGGCAGGTGGTCAGAGGAGAGGTCGGACCTGAAAGGTTAAGTCAGGATGTGGGTAGTGCGTGGGTCTGGGGTCGACCCCTACCCCTAGCTGGAGATGGAGTGAAGGGGCACTGAGGAGAGCAGGCATTTGGCTCGAGTGAGACAGCCTGCCGGGTAGAGGATGGGCCGAGGTGACCAGGGATTGGGGGGTGTGTGTGACCAGAGCCAAGTTCACCCTGGAGTGAGCGGAATAGGAGCAACAGGAACTCTCCTGAAAACGGGTTGGCGGGAATTTGAGCACCCCCCCCCCCCCACCAGGCGAGGGGCTGGAACGTGAACTTGAAGCAGGTGTTGAAGGGATGGAAGGGAACGACGAAGCGGTCGAGGTAGAGGCTGTGCTGAGGGGTAGGGAATCTTCAGAGATGCTGGGGGAGAGGAGCGGGGTAAGGGGAAAGGAGAAATGTTCAGAAAATGATTGGGAAACACATTCGGTATTTTGCTTGATGTTGTGGACTCTGGGGAATCTAAAGCTATGAGCCTTCTCAAAAAAAAAAAAAAAAAAAAGAAGCAAGCACATAAAATTCTAGACCTGATTTTACAGTCAGTCTCAGAGGCATCACAGAGCAGCCCCCAAAGCGTGCTTGACCCAGGATTCCAGGGTTAGAGATTTAGCTGTAGAAGACATCAAGATGTGTAGGCTTGCACATGGCAATAAATCGTGTACATGACAATATATCATTTATACCCAATGAGTAGTAGAGGCAGTAGTTGCTAACGGATGTTGAACGGTGCCAGGGCCAGTGTGGGCTTTATGAAGAGGGTGGAAGTTAAAATGAATGTTAAAAAGCAAGTCTGACAGAGGGTCAGCGTGAACCAAGGCCCTAGGTCCTGGGACAGAGCCCTAGGAATGCCCCCTGCTGGTGGTGGAGGAGGTCTATGGGGTACCCCGTTTCCTCCTCACCCCAGACACGTGCCCAGGAAGGTGACTCAAAAATGCTAGTGTCTTATAAGTAGTGTCTCCAAATGTTAAAGGGTTTCATGGTCACATGGAACTAAGAAACGGATGTGGAGAAATCTCAGAAGAGGCCTGTTTAACTATTTACTTCAACATTTCCCAACTTTATTTGACTGTGAGCACCCTTATTTTTCCCTTAAGGCGCCCTACTAATAGCCCCAAAGCATCTCAGGACTACACTTTGGGAAAAGCTCTTGAGAATCGAGGGCCACAGAAGGGTTTTGAGCAATGGCAGGAGACTGGGTTGTAATGTGTGACGCACGATTAATGGGACAGCCCCACGTGGGAATGGAGTGGCCGGCACAGACACGGAGGCAGGGAGGGCCTGGGCCACAGTAAGCCACACAGTCACAGAGGTACGTTTGTTAAGGACTGAGGGAAAAAAATGTGCATGGTTTCTCATACTGCTGTTGTTTTCTTCCCAGGAAACGACCTTTGGCTCCAAAAGGAGACTCAATTTTTCATGATAAAATGGCAGTGGTGAAACCCCCCAACAGAGAACTAAAGAATGCCGAAGAACCATTTACTACCATCTCTCCCGTCCTTTTGAAGAGCCTCGTGGAGGAGCCTAAGAAAAGAACCGAGGTACCTAATCACCTTCTAGAATCAAGTAAGTTGAGATCCCATCAAGTAAGTTGGATCCCAGAGGATCCAAAGTCCAGAAAGCATGAAGAAATTTTTGGTGCTGATTTCTCCATTTGGTCTTATGGGCTTATAGTAGGTTTTATCATTAAGAACAATGGTTCTATTTAGGCCCATCTGCTCACGTGATAGATCCTTGTGGTGTAAATGAGTCACCAAGTTCTGCGACTTCCACTTCCTCAAATATCTTACCTATCTGTCCCCAGTGCCCTGCTCCTCATTCTTAGCAGGTCACTAGGACATTGTGCTCTCCTCCCCACTGCCCTTCACACCCCGTCTCGGTCGTCGGTAGGTCTCCTTCGTGGAATCATGGCTGGCCCTGTCCCTATCCTGCTCAGATGGTCTCGAGGTTGCCTTGCAAATGGAATAGAGCTGCAACTCTTTCTCTTGGCATTTGGCCCCCTCTGCTGTGGATGTGAACCTGCCCACCCAGCCCCGCCCCCCAGGTCCACCAATGCTGTGTAACCCTCATCCCCAGCTCCAGCCACACTATTACTCATGCTCCTTCAAGACCACATGCACTTAATACCTTCTTGCCTTTGGCCCTGCACGCCCCTTCCATTCCATGTCCATGGGAAGCCTGGTAGATCCTCTAGTGATGATGGAAAGGCTCATCATTTGGCCTACGTTCTTCTCACTTAATCCGCACAACATCAACGTTCTGTTTTCATTTTCCTGTTGGGGAAGCAATCAGAGAGGTCAAATGAATTCCCCAGGGCGGCACAGCTGAGTGGGGAGGTGGTGTTCAGTCGTGGTAGCCCCACGTCTAGCTCTCTACTGTCACACTAGGTTGCTTCCCTTTCATCTCTCAGTGTCCATCACAACTGCTGGAAATGCAGTATTTGGGTGTGGCCCTCATTACTGTGGAACTTACTGAGTGCAGATTAATATACTCAACTATTTTGGGGCATTGGCAGAGAAATGCCTATCTTACACCTATTTGTGGCTCTAAAAACAAAACAAAATGTTCAGAATTTTAAAAATTTACAAATAAGGGCACCTGGGTGGCTCAGTTGGTGAGGCTTCTGACTCTCTGTTTCGGCTCGGGTCATGATCTCACAGTCAGTTGCAAGATCAGGCCCTGTGTTGGGCTCCAAAGTGAGTGTGGAACCTGTTTGGGATTCTCTCTCTCTCTCTGCCCATCCCTAGTGCTCATGTGCTCTCTCGCTCTCTCTCTCTCAAAAATAAATAAATAAACTTGAAAAAATTTTTTTCCGAATGGGCCACCTGGGTGGCTCAGTCAGAGGAGTGTGCAAGTCTTGATCTCAGGGTCGTGAATTTGATTCCCACCTTGGGTATAGAGATTACTTTAAAAAATCTTTGAAAAAATTACCAAATAATGTTCATTTCAATACTTAAGAAGTGATCAAATAACCTACAGAGATCACCCATCCCCAGGGAGACCGTCCTTACCCCATTCTAGCCCTTCACTTTGGCCCAATGCTGATTACAGTATCAGCTCCCCCAGGTGAGGGGCAAGAGCACCAACCATTTCATACTCCCTCCAGATGTTTACCACCAGAATCGTGGTGGGCGAAGGAGTGGGGGAGGGTGTCTGTGGCTCACGGCGTTTGGATATAGCCAAAGGTGAAAGGTCATCCTTGGTGAGAAATTGGATGGTGCATTCATATTGAAGGAGGTGGGCTAACAGTTGGAAGCAGACCTGGGCTTGATTTTTAACTACCAGCCATGGGCAAGTTGCTTCATCTTGTTGAGTCTCAGCCCCTTCATCTGCACAATGGAAATAATACGTGCCACGTAGGGTTGGAGTGAGGATTATAAACAGACGCCTGGCATAAGCGCTAAAGGCACAGAGACAATGGTGTGGTGGGTTCCCAGTGCCTCCTACACGTCTCAGCTCCTGCCTGAATAAAGAGCTGGGAAAAGTTGTGGAGACCTGGACACTTTTTAAAAAAAAATATGTAATTTATTGCCAAGTTGGCTAACAGACAGTGTATACATTGTGCTCTTGGTTTTGGGGGTAGATTCCTGTGGTTCATCACTTACATATGACACCCAGTGCTCATCCCAACAAGTGCCCTCCTCAAGGCCCATCACCTATTTTCTCTTCTCGCCTACCACCCCCCTCCATCAACCCTCCATTTGTTCTCTGTATTTAAGAGTCTCTTGTGGTTTGCCTCCCTCCCTCTCTGTTTCCCCTCCCCCTGCCCCATGGTCCTCTGTTCAGTTTCTCAAGTTTCACATATGAGTGAACACATAAGATATCTGTCCTTCTCTGCCTGACTTATTTCACTAAGCACAAAACCTTCCAGTTCCATCCACGTTGCTGCAAGTGGCAGGATTTCATTCTTTCTCATTGCCATGTAGTATTCTCATGTAGTATTTCTCATGAAGTATTCCATTGTATATATAAACCACATCTTCTTGATCCATTTGTCAGTTGATGGACACTCCCTCCATGTTTTGGCTATTCTGCTGCTATGAACATGGGGAGTGAACATGGGGGCACATGTGCCCCTATGCATCAGCACTCCTGTATCCCTTGGGTAATTTCCTAGCAGTGCTATTGCTGGATCATAGGGGAGTTCTATTGTTAATTTTTTTTGAGGAACTCCACTCTGTTTTCCAGAGCGGCTGCACCAGTTTGCATTCCCACCAACAGTGCAAGAGGGTTCCCGTTTCTCCACATCCTCACCAGCATCTGTTGTTCCCTGATTTGTTCATTTTAGACATTCTGACCAATGTGAGGTGGTATCTCAGTGTGGTTTTGATTTGTATTTCCCTGATGATGAGTGACACTGAGCATCTTTTCATGTGTCTGTTGGCCATCTGGATGTCTTCTGTGGGAAAGGGACAGTTTTTAAAATTTTTTAAAAATTTTTATTTATTTTGAGAGAAAGCTAGAGAGCAAGCAGGGGAGGAGCAGAGAGAGAGGGAGAGAGAGACTCCCAAGCAGACCGCACACTGTCAGCGCAGAGCCCAACGCAAGGCTTGAACTCACAAACCACAAGATCATGACCTGAGCCGAAATCAAAATGTTAGTTAGACATTTAAGGGACTGAGCTGCCCGGCGCCCCAACCTGGACACTTTTGTGAGATCAGCTGTCTTAACCTTGTTCTCAAAACAGGAAAAAAGAAAAAAAGACATTTACATTACAGTAATAACAGTTTGAGATTTTACTGGCCAGCGCAATGATTATTCATAGCTTTACGATCATTCTATCACACTGTAATTCTATTCAGAGGAAATGAAATAATAACAGTTAAACACACATTAAAAAACTACACACTTGGTGTTTGGATATTTATTACGTAATAGGTAATCTTGGTGTTGAACGGAGCAGCAAAGGTAAGGCACTTGCTTTTTACAAGCTCTCATTTTAGTTTGAAGCCTTGCACAAAATGTGAAGAGTAGATTATTTCAATAAGCAATCAGCAGTACATGTGATAATATCTCCTAAACGACATGTCAAAACAGGGAGAAGCAGTAAAGTTCATTTGGAATAGATCGATAATCCTGCTGACAGCTGTCTCCTCTGTCTGAAGCTTTCATTGGCTTAAAATATCCTAAGGAGAGCCCACATGAACAGGATCTTCTTTTATTTAATGTTTCCTGTTACGTCTCATCTCATGATGTGCTTATTTACGTTGTTTTTATAGAGGTTTATGCAAAACTTCTGAATAATCAGTTCATACAGGCAAAACCCGGCATAGTGCATTTTGGAGGCTACCAAGTAGAAGAACAAAACCAACAGATTCTGGTAGGTATTTTTCCAGTGGGATGATTCCTCATAGTAATGAAATGACATGAATGTTCTGCATTTATATCACTTATCCATTTAAAGAGCAGCATAATCGGCAGAAGCGCGAATGTCCGTTGGGCCAGAAAGAGGGTTCTAGATGAGAAATGTTAAAGTTGCACAGGTGTCCTCGGACGAGCTACTTTCCCCGCCACCGAAGGCTCCTCACGGCATCCTTTTCAAACAGGTGTCATTGCTAACAGGTGTCATTCGAACAGGCGTTCTCAGGGGCTAGGAACCGTGCTTTGTGTCTGCCGTGGTTCAAGTTTGTCCTTACGCTCGCTCGGTGGAGGTTGTCCTGTTAGTCTCATTCTGTAGACAGGGAAACAGGATTCCAGAAGGTTCAATAGTTGACTCAGAACACATAGCTAGTAAGTGATAGAGACCGACTTTGACTTTTAGGCTGCCTTCCTCTAACCCAGCGCGTGTTTGCTCCAAGCCTACACCACCAGGGAAGGGGTATCCCTTTCCTAAAAGGCTCTGGTGAGGGCTCTGTTTCAGCTGCTTGGGTCTGATGCCCATGCCTGAATCGGCCATTCTGGCCAGAGAGATTCTAGCCGCGTCTGGTGGCAAGGGTCAGCTCCACTGGACAGGCTCAGAAGGGACAGTTGAAAGGATGGACGTCAGTCCACCACAGAGCTTCGTGGGTCCCCTTCATTGACTGCGTGTTCAGGCTGCGGTGGGCTCGGGGCCGGGGGGCTACAGCACTCCTAACTTCTGTGCCTCTAGGGAGCTGAACATTTAAGTCTGCTCTGCGACCTCGATGACCTCACATCAGTCCCCTCAAGTCACACTGAGCAGGACACCTCAGAACTACTCCCACTGGGCTCTGGATCTGAGCCCCATTGGCCTCTCCGCATGTGCTGAGAGTGGGGCAGAGCCTCCTGAGCCTCTGGTTTTGTACACGATGTTCCCTCTCTGGCTCCGTCACCAGACACCACAAGGGTCTCTACTTTTAAATGTAATGGGTTCTTAGGAGCCATGTCTTAGAGTGGATCATTTTAAGAACGAATCCCAACTATTGGGTTGGATTGCTCAGGGCAAGGAGAAGAGGCTGACAAATGGCAAAGCTGTCAGGAAGTGGAGTTAGGTTTCTACCAGGCGTCTCCGACAAAAAGAATGCCATTTGCATGAGTCCTTGTGCCTCAAAGTGGGTAGAGGGAATGAATCCGGAGAGCAGTCCATTAGGGGCCAAGTGTTTCGCCTCGGGAAAAGGGTTAGAATTTAAAATGGTGAGTAGGAAATCCCCCCATCAACCAACGAAGACAATTTCTGAGAACACAGCATCAAAGCCCAAGCTTACTTTTCCTGGTATTAGGTCGGCTGCTTCAATGGTCGTAGGGTAGAATGAAAATAATTATCTTTCATAGTTGCTCATTGTTTATAGTAAATAATGAATGAGTGATTCACTCCCCACCCGCCAGCACCCTCACTCTCCTTATTCCCGCACCCAGTCTACCTCTACGCCAGGCAGCGTTGGTTTAGATTTATTTATGTATAAATAACCTGCTTTCCATTGGTATAGATTTATGTATGTATGTATGTATGTATGTATGTATGTATTTTTACAAATAGTTTATTGTCAAGTTGGTTTCCATATAACACCCAGTGCTCATCCCCACAAGTGCCCCCCTCCACGCCCATCTCCCCCCCCCCCCCCCCCCACACACCCATCAGTCCTCAGTTTGTTCTCAGCATTCAAGAGTCTCTCATGTTTTGCCTCCCTCCCTCTCCCCCACTATTTCCCCCTTTCTTCTCCCCCATGGTCCTCTGTTAAGTTCCTCCTAATCCTCCTATACGTGCAAACATACGATATTTGTCCTTCTCTGCCTGACTTATTTCGCTCAGCATAACACCCTCAAGGTCCATCCATGTTGCTCCGTTGGTATAGATTTAACTACTCTGGACGCTTCATATAAGTGCAGTCATGTAACATGATTGTGTGACTGGCTTCTGTCATTTGGCCTAACGTTTCCCAGACTCATCCAGCTCGTAGCATATCCATACTTCCTTCCCTTCCATGACTGAATACTGTTCCATTGTACGACTATACCATGCTTTTTTTCTCTAATTTTTTTAATGTGTTTTATTTATTTCTGAGAGAGAGAGACAGCATGAGCAGGGGAGGGTCAGAGAGAGAGGGAGACACAGAATCCGAAGCAGGCTCCTGGCTCTGAGCTAGCTGTCAGCACAGAGCCCGACGCAGGGCTCGAACCCACGAACTGTGAGATCATGACCTGAGCCGAAGTTGGACGCTCAACCAACTGAGCCACCCGGGCGCCCCTGACTATACCATGTTTTGTTCATCAGATGGACGTTTGGGTTTCAGCTTTGAGCCTACTATGAAGAGCACTGTTAGGGATGCTTGCATGCGTGTTTTTGCGTGGACACATTTTCAGTTCTCTTGGATATATACCCAGGAGGAGAACTGTTGGGTGGTCTGGTATGTTAGTTTTCAGTGGCTGCTGTCACAAATAGCCACAAACTGAGGATCTTAATAAAGCAGAAATTTATTCCGGAGGACAGCGTCCAGAATCAAGGCGTCGGCCGAGCCGCGCTCCCTCCGAGGGTTCTCAGGGAGAATGTTGTTTTGCCTCTGGCAGCTTCTGACAGATGTTCCTTGGCTTATGGCTGTATGACCCCACTCTCAGCCTCTACCTTCACCCGGCCCTCTCTGACTCTGTGTCTTTTCCGCTTCTTGTAGAAGGACAGGTGCATTGGACGGAGGCCTACCTGGGTAATTCAGGATGATCGAATCTCAAGGTCCTTAATACCATCCACAATGATCCTTTTCTCGAATAAGGTCACATTCACAGGCTCCTGGTGTTGGGATGTGAACATAGCTTCTTGAGGCCACCATTCAATTCACTATTTTATTTGTATTTTTTTTTTATATTTGCATGTTTTACTTGCATTTCCCTAATGACTAATGATGTTGACCATCTTTAGACCAGGATGCTCATGATGTAAAAAAAGCTTGTGGGGGCCTCTGGCCGGCTCGGTCAGTAAAGCATGTGACTTTTTTTTTTTTTAATGTCTATTTATTTATTTTTGAGGGAGAGGTAGAGGCAGAGAGAGAAAGAGATTGAGAATCCCAAGCAGCCTCTGTACTGTCAGTAGAGAGCCCAACATGGGGCTTGAACTCACGAACCATGAGATTGTGACCTGAGCTGAAGTCAAGAGTCAGAGGCTTAACTGACTGAGCCACCCAGGTGCCCCAGAACATGGGACTCTTGATCTCGGGGTTGTAAGTTCAAGCCCCACATTGGGGGTAGAGATGACTTAAAAGAGAAAATCTTTAAAAAGAAATAATAAAAGTGTGAGGAGGAGAAGCCACTTGAGATGGTCCAAAAGGTAAAGAGAAGCAGGAAGAAGGTACTCAGGGCATAAAGGAAGACATTGGGAGAGGTTTGGGGTACGTGGTGCATATTTGGACACTAGCGTGCAAGCTGGTTTACCTGGATTGTAGGGTCTGGGGAGGGAGGCGAAAGCTTCATTCTGTTGAAGAAGAGAGATCATCTCTTTTGTACCGAACAATTCCTAGCATATAGAAGGCCCTCAGTAAACCTTGGTGAATGACATTGAACTCACTTTCTTGGAAGAGAGTGCTTTGGTGGGAACTTCCCCATTGAGGGTAAATACAGTGTGAAGTCGAAACAGTCAAACTGCTTCTAGCAGACATTCAGACAAAGAGGAATAGATAAAAGTACACAGTGATTTCATCTTAATAACATCCTGGGAGACCCTGGGAGAGCCAGGCCTCCTGTTTCCATGAGTAGAGGTACCCGGAAGCCCAAGGCAATTACCTTGAGCTCCTCGCCAACTGTGGGGAAAATCTGGCTCTGCTTTTATCTTGGTTCTGCTACAGGAAACTATGCAAACTTCCCAAGAATGGGATGACTGCGTGTGGGTTTAAAACCGCAGTAAATTGTTCATTAACATTTGAGATTGATCCACATCTGGTTAAAGGATTTAAAGCAGTTTACGTGGATTTCTATGGAGATCAATGCTTCGACTTAACTTTAAAATTGGAAGTGAGGTTTCTCAAGACAAAGAGCTCTTAAATTCTTTTTTTTTCCCTCTGCAGATAGGTTTTGTTTGGAAAACTATATGTGTTAAATGAATAACTAGTCAGTTTTCGCATGAGACAACAAGTGTGGCCATTGTCAGCGCAAAAGAAAGTTGTTAGCCCGTACAGACTTAGCTTACATAAATTAACAGCTCCTTCAGGCTTTCTGAAATAATAGTATTAGTTTTGAATTCCCTATCGCAGCCTTCAAGGTTCCCCCCATCCTGCAATGTATAGCCAAATAACACATCTCTTATTATCATGAATGGGACCTGTATTGTTTGACAATGCAGATATGATCTCCTGAATTCCAAATCATTGGCTTTACTTCCAAATGAGTGGTGGACATGTTTGAATTTGCCCTATGACACTCAGGTTGGAGGAAGCATCAGGTTTCTATTTTTTTTAATGTTTATTTATTTATTTTGAGAGAGAGACCTGGAGCACGAGCAGGGCAGGGGCAGAGAGAGAGGAGGAGAGAGAATCCCAAGCAGGCTCCGCTCTATCAGCGTAGAGCCTGACATGGGGCTAGATCTCACAAACGGCGAGATCGTGAGCCGAGCCGAAATCAAGAGTCAGATGCTCAACCAACTGAGCCACCCTGGTGCCCCTTCTATATTTTTTAAAAATCAAGTTGTGGCTGGGCCCTCACCCACAGGTGCTGGCTGCCTGTCCAGTCTCCTGTCTCCTCCCTTGGGACCATTTGGGAAGCCTGGAAGAGCTGAGGCCTCTCTAGATCCTGTGATGCTGCTTACTGCAAACTGACCTAAGTCTCTGAGGTTCTTTCTCATTGCCAGGTGCATATCGACAATCTGAGCCCAATGGGAGGTGGGAGCCACAGGTCCCCTCCCAGCAGCCTCGCGACCAGCTTTATCTGCTGCAATGCAAACAGGTCCAAGAAGAAATTCTGGCATGCGGAAGACACTAGCTAGCAGGCAGAAAATAATTCCATACTCGCAGTCTCCAGAAAGGCCCAGCCATAGCTCCTTGCAGGGAAGGTTTGCTGGCAGCAGATGCAGGCGCATCTGTGGGGAAGATCAGCCAACCTTCCAACAGGCCAACAACATTTTTGTAGAGTGGTGCAAAGCACAGGACCTAAGGGAGCCCTGCGTCTTTGGAGGTCACAGTAAAGGACACTGGGCCCTGGGCTCACCAGATTCTCCTGTGCCTTTTGTATAAGAGCAGGAATGCCTGTATGACGTTTCTGGTTAGTGCATATATCCCAAACATCCCTGATGCTTATGTCGAAGACCCTCTAGGGTCAGTTTAGGTGAGCAGGATGGAAATGCTGTTAGTATTCACCTCTGTCTGGAGTCTGGACTCTGGATTAGGATCCTGCAGTGTGCACTAAGCACTCCTGGAGTGCAGATCACTGATTTCTTTTCAGGTTAAACACCCGTGAGATACACACTAAAAGCAGCACCTACACGCTGTTTGTTGCTCTGTCCTCATTGGATTTTTTTTAAGTGATAGACACATATAACCACTTCTCCTCCCAATTCTTCTTGAACTCCAGTGCGAGGGCTTCCCTTGATGACAAGCATGAGGATAGAGTTCTTTTTTTTTCTTCTTTTAATGTTTATTTATTTTTAAGTGAGTGCAAGCAGGGGAGGGGCAAAGAGAGGGGGAGAGGAAAAGTGGGCTTTTCACAGCAAGCCAGCTGTGGGGCTCGAACTCATGAATCACAAGATCATGACCAGAGCCTAAGTCAGATGCTAAACCAACTGAGCCACCCAGGTGCCCCAGGGGACTGAGTTCTTTGTCAAGGTTTCTAGGCCCTGGGGCTGTATGGCTACCTCTCCATGCCCAGGCAGGTCCCACCACCCCAGGTTCTCCATGTGATGAACAGGAGGTCCCAGCATACCTGCCCCCTCCCTCAATCTCTCTTGAAAGGACCCCTCTCGAGCGCAGGGCCCCGGGAGCCCACATCTTCGCCAAGACTCTCTGCAGGCCTCCTGCGAGGTCAAGAGTGGCCTGGAGAACTCTGTTTTTTAAGGCTTTTAGCGTATTAAAAAGAAAAGATATGCCAAAACAGGGTCACTTTAGGAATGTTCAGAGGTGACAAAGAACTTTTAACAAATGCAAGCACCACTGTAACCTCATCAGGAAATAATATCTGAATTTTAATCTAGGGCTTCCGTGGACATGAGGCCTTGGGCAATGGGCCCCATGACAGGCCCAGCCTCTGGCCGACACTTTGGAAACCAAACTCCTCTTGACTGTTTCTTGGCCCAGGGGAAGCCCACGTGCCCAGGTTCTGAAATTCTTGGCCCCATCTCAGGCAGAGGGAGGAGAGACGCCTGTACTCAGAGACCAAGTCAATTTATCCACCATACTGTCCTGTCTCACGGGACAGAGAATTCCTGACCTGGGCTGCTTTCCCATTTGCCCCAGGGATGAGTTGGAGGCTGTCCTAGCCCCAGGCCTCTTTCCTGATTTTTTGACCACTTAAGTGTTGCTGGGCCCCCAGCACCAGTGGCATGTAATTCCAGAAACCGTGGCATTTGGCTGGGTGGCTGGCTTCTTAGTTGAGTCACAGGGCTAAAATGGAGTTGTGGAAATTCATTCATGAAAGGCAACCTGGTTCCCAGGGGAGTCGGGAAGCCAGTAGGGGGAACTCTCACACCCCACCACACCTCTGTGATTGCACCCCCAATAGGAAGAGATGGACGTCCTTGGCCATACTTTAGGTACTATGCTACTGTCTTAGCTGGAGGAAGGAAGGTTTTCCTCCTGCCCCAGCAACAGCCCAGCCAATGAGAGATGGGCATAGCTCAGCCAGTGAAAAGCCCCTATACTTCCGATTCCAACGGAGTTTACTCCAATGGACTTTTTGTTTATATCAGCTCTCCCCCTTTCCCCCTTTCCTCCATAAGAGAGCATTCCTTTCCTCTAGTCTGGGGACTTGTGTCTGGTTTTTCAGTTGCCTGCACATCCTGGTGTGCAGTTCTCTGCCATTCCTGAATAAATCCGTTTTGTTGGTAAGGTGACTGGCAGTTTTTTTTTTTTTTTTTTTAATATTTATTTATGGGAGAGCGCAAGCAGGGGAGAAAGGGACAGAGGATCCAAAGCAGGCTCTGCTGACAGGCTGACAGCAGCAAGCCTGATGTGGGGCTTGAACTCATAAATGGTGAGATCATAACCTGAGCCAAAGTCGACGGACGCTCAACAGACTGAGCCACCCAGGAGCCCCCTGGCAGTTTTATTTTTGAGGTTAACAGAGTTCAACAAAAAGGCACACATAGTTACTGGTCAGGACTAGGGACCAGGGCCATGTGCAGATGAAGATAGCCGCCTGGGGGCTATAGGCTCTGGTAAAGCCCCTAATCTGGGAAGAAGGCACGCGGGTATACTTTATTATCCTTTAAATGGTGTTGTGTTTATTTTATTATTCTCTAAATGGGGTATGATGCATTTAAAATCTTTTTGAAAGATAAACAGGGGCGCCTGGGTAGCTCAGTCGGTTGGGCTGGTCCAACTTCAGCTCAGGTCATGATCTCATGGTTTGTGACTTCCAGCCCCACATCAGGCTCTGTGCTGACAGCTCAGAGCCTGGAGCCTGCTTCGGATTTTGTGTCTCCCTCTCTCTCTCTGCCCCTCCCCCACTCGTGCTCTGTCTCTCTCTGTCTCCCAGTGATAAATAAATGTTTAAAAAAAATTTTTTTAAAGAAAGTTAAACAATAAATTCTATCTCCTCATATCCCTTAAGGAACAAGGTAAAGTCTAAATAAATGAGGAAGTGAATATGCAGATAGATAAAACAGTGTTTTCTCCTAATCCTTGTTTCTCACAGCATCTGATCAATATTTCCAATGAAGACATACATGTGCATATTTTACCCCCTCAAACCAAATACTTTCAGATCAAGTATGTGAAAAAGGTAAGCATGTCCCGGTTGCCTCTTCTCCACTGTGTTCTTTGTTGGGTTGTGGCTTTCTGGGTGGGAGGTCGGCCTGGGAGCAGGTGCGGCCTGCTGTCTGTGTGCTTGGGGCCTGTCCCCACCAGAGACTTCTTGCCTTCTAGGAGCACTGCCTTGTCCCTGGCTTGTCCCTCACAGTCACCATCACATTTTCTCCGGATGAGTGGCGGTACTATTACGACTGCATTCGGGTTCACTGTAAGGTAAGTGTTCTTAAAATTGGTTTTTATGGGGATAAAGGCCAGGAGGACTTCAAGACTTCTCTCCCGAGGGAAGAAAGAAGAGAGAAGGAGCAGTAAGTGTGAGGTTTCTCGCCCAGTGTGTGTGTCCCTCGGGCAGCCCGTGTGAGTGGCACGAGGGGCCTTGCCCAGTCACGTGGGTCCCCGACGTGAGAGCCACGAAGAGTCAGGACAGAGCCGTGAGGCGTCATCTGCTTTAGGTTTCCTGCCTGCCCTGGTCCAGAAACCTCATTTATTGTGTAGCGCTAGGAGTTGATAAGGACTTTTTCAAATAGCTTAAACATACTCCTTTAAGTGCTAGGTTACAAAATTAGCAACACCCCCCCACTTGCGATTTTAAATCCCAGGGAACAGATGGTGTCCTGTGGGAATATCCTCAGAGGCAGCCCTAGGGGTCAGCAGGGAGGCCTGTGTGGTCTGACCCCCAATGGCTGTGCCTTGTGAGTCCCTGTGAGCCGCTTCTAGGTCAGCGAATTCATCCTGTGGCCTCCAGCCAGAGCCAGCCCCACGTGCTGTCAACTCCTCTCTTCACACTGTCCCCCCCACCCTGACACTTCCCGTTGCTCTCCAAGTCAAGACGCCTTAAGGTGAACTAAATTTAATTTTTCAAAACTAAAAATGGAAGAGTATGTTTTAGTAATCAATGAGCTTCCATTTTTTTTTATTAAAAAATTTTTTTTAACATGTATTCACTTTTGAGAGACAGAGAGAGACAGAGCACGAACTGGGGAGGGGCACAGAGAGAGAAAGGGAGACACAGAATCTGAAGCAGGCTTCAGGCTCCGAGCTGTCAGCACAGATCCTGACGCAGGGCTTGAACTCACGAACTGGGAGATCATGACCTGAGCTGAAGTCAGACGCTTTAACCAACTGAGCCACCCAGGTGCCCCAGTGAGTTTGAATTTTTAAACAGAAAACAAAAAAGCTAGACTCAAAAATAGAGTATTGCTTTCAGAAGGAGTATCTGTACCAAGAAGACAAATGTCACAGAGTGCCACTGATCATCTCCTGCTCCTTAACAGTGGCACTAATAATAATACTTTACATTTAAGCAGTGCTCTTAATTCTTCCAGGCCATCATCGGCCCTCATTCTTAAAAACACCTTTAAAGTGAAGGCAACATTATTCCCATTTTGCAAAGGAAGAATCAAGGCCTGGAGAGGTTAAGGGTCTTGTTCAAGGTCATGTATTAGGCAGGACTGGAAGTAGATGTGCCCTACATCAGTTCATTGTTTACTGTTTGGTGCCATCTGGATCAGCTGATGCCGTGATTGTTTCGTTTTCTCTCAGGCTACTGCAGATTGTGTTTCCTTATAATTTTCTGGAATAGAAGCCAATAGATTACTGTCTTTGTATCTATATGAAGGCATCCTCTCTCCTGGAAAAAAGTGAATATCACTTCAATGAAATGTGCTTAGAATTTCCTGTACTTTGGATGCAGCGAAGAAGGCCCAGTATTTCTAATGTTCTGTTCAAGCGCTCAGGTTTCTTAAGGAAATATTTTTTAGTGATAGAAAGCAACAGAAGAAATAAAGTACCTACAAGTTCATCTTTGAAAATTATAGCCTTTAGTATGGTAAACTTCGCTTTCTTTCCCATTCATTTTAGGGAGATGAGACTTTGCTTATTCCTATTCATGCCTATCCCGTCATGAACACACTGGACTTTCCCCCATTTATAAATCTATCGAATGTTCTCCTTGGTGAAAGGTGAGTTACCAAGATGAATGGCCAAAATGTCATAGGTCACGAAAAGTTAAGAGATACGTCTAACAGAAACTTAGATTTGTATTTTTCCGAGATTTGGACTTTTCTAGCTGAGTTAGACGGGACTTACAGTCAGAAAGGGTAAACAAAAACAAAAGCCCATGTCATGATATCGTGAGCAAGGAAGGGAATTTATTGGGCCATTTAACTGAGAGGTGCAAGTTGGGTCTTCAAGCATCGCTGGTTCTAGGGGCTTAAGTCAGCTTGTGGGAACCTGACTCTCTCCTTTTCTTGGTTCTGCTCCTCTTCCTTCAGTCTTCTTTCCCAATAGGCTTCCCCCTCACAGGGTTGAAGCCCGGGGTGGCTGTTGGCGACGGGTAGGAGGGGCCAGAGGGGTTGGAGATGTTGGAGCAAAAGTCCCAAGATTGAGTCTTATTGGACCAACCTGGATCTCATGCCCATCCATTAACCAATCTCTGCTCTGGATGGGGAAGCAAGAATAGAAATTTACTGTCCAAGCCAAGTCTCAGATTCCTCGGCCCTGTCTTACTGGAAAAATAGTTAAAGATTCCAAGTGTAATGTACGTGGGTTTTTTTTTTCTCCAGTAAATATTTATTAAATCCTTACTACTAATACCTAAATATCTCTAGAGATATAGAAAGATGGATATGGAGCTGTTAGATAAAGCTATAGAATGGCCATGCCAGTTGTTAATACTTCTCTACTGGCCAGGAAATATATACTGTCCTGAGCTCCCGTCCCTCCATCCCAGCTGCCTGGCCCCTTTCCTGCCCTCCCTGTGACCTCTTAATGATTCAGCAACTACATTGTCAAAACCTCGCAATTTTGGGGGTGGGGGAGGCATCCGCAGGACATGGCCCCAGCCTTAGAGCCACTCTGAGTACTGCCCAGAAGTCCCGATTGATTGACATTTTGAAGATCACCCATGGCTAAAAGGCAAATAGACAAAGGTTCTGATTTTGAATGCTTTGGAGTCTAATGGGGACAGATCATGTTGATTGTTGATCAATCATCAGTTGATTACATCAATTGCTATATGTATTAGAGGCATGTATGGGGTCCCGTACAGGCCCAGAAGATGGAACCTACTGGAAACACGGGGGTAGTTACTCCTCACGTCTCTGGAGGTGACAATCTGGTTGTCCAAAGAGGACTCCATAGTGTGGTAGAATGGGAGGATGGCATTTGAGGTGGGGAAATAGCACATGCAAAGGCACGGTGGCAGCGGAGAGCATCGACTATAGCTCAGAGGAGATTTAGCCCCCGGAGGGTTTTAATCCACCCACTAGCTCGCAGATACTAGACGTCTCTCGCTATAGGCCCAGATGGTGAGCAAAGACTGGCTTCAGCATGCTTTGGGGGGAACGCAAGTTCAAGTGCCTGCAGCAGCACTGAGCAGCATGCATTCAAGTTGCTGATGACCAGATAGCAGGGTTAGATAGAGAGAGGGCCCGCGGAACACTTTGTGATGAGGTGGCGCTTATAGACCAATATGTATAGCCCTCAGGGCCCTTCCTTTTTAGTACTATGTGGCGTCCTTGAGTGAAATCCCCAAATTAATTCTGGAATGATTGCCTTAGTTCAGCTGACATGTAATCTTCTCCCTGCGCCGCACCCGTCTGCCCACACACCTTCCCATGACCTTCTGACTCTCTGTCTATACTTCTTCCCTTGAACTCCTTAAAAATTATAAATAAATAATACATACAAAAGAATATATAATAATCTGTCAGGTTTAAACAATAATAATATAATGAACACCGGCTTCAAGACATAAAGCATTACCGGTAACTTTGCAGCTACTACTTGGAATTTTGTGACAGTCATTTCTTTGATGTAGTTTAATAGTTTTGACACATACACGTGCACCCCTAAGTAGCGCATTGTTTCGTTTTGCCAGTGTGTGATCTTTAGATAAATGGAATCGTACTGGATGTATGTTCTCTTGCAACTTGCGTTTTCTACTCAATGTTACGGTTCTGTGGTTTTGCCGTATTAACTCCCATAGCTAGAGTTGACTATTGTGCTGTCCACCAAATTGACCATGAATTTTTTGGTTTAGTTTAGTGGGGTTTTTTTTTTTTCATGTTTTATTTGTTTTTGAGAGAGAGTATGAGTCAGGGAGAGGCAGAGAGAGGGGGCGACAGAGGAGCTGAGGAAGCAGGATCTGTGCTGACAGCAGTAAGCCCGATGCAGGGCTTGAACTCTGAACTCATGAATCATGAGATGGTGACCTGAGCCTGAAATTGGGTGCTCAGCTACCCAGGTGTCTTTGCTTTGACCAGCACTGCTGTGTACATGCCTGTATATGGTCTGGGGGCACCCGTTCTAGAGTTTCCCCAACATATACATCTAGAAGTGGATGGTCTAACACAAGTTCACTATTAACATTGTAACACCTTGTGTTTTCCAGAATGGCTGTACCCATTCACACGCCTACCTGCAGGGCATGAGAATTCCTCTTTGCCTGCACCACTGCCAAGCAGTGGGTACGTTCAGATTTTGACATTTTCACTGACATACATTCTTGGCCCCTTGCTTTTCAGTCCTCTATTTATTTTCCTGAGCACATTTTGCCAGAACTCTATCCCAGTATTTCCTCCCTCTCCCTCTTCAACCCTCTCTGTCTTCACCCAGTCCTCGTCAGTACTAACTGCTCTGCAAGGGTGAGTCCCTCTTGGCAGGAGCCACTCACTCTCTGCATTTTGAGGCCAAACATAGCTATTTCCTTTAAATGGGTGACTATAGCAACTTTTACAAAAATCAAAGTGGTAGAAGAGTAGGAACTATCTAACTTCCTAGTTTTTGAATCCTTCCTTCCTTCCTCCCTTCCTTCTTCCCTTCCTTCTTCCCTCCCTCCCTCCCTTCCTTCCTTCCTCTCTTCCTCCCTTCCTTCCTCCCTCCCTCCCTCCCTCCCTCCCTCCCTTCCTTCCTTCTTCCTTCCTTCCTTCCTTCCTTCCTTTTTTTCCCTCCACAAATTTCAAATTATTTTTGTTTGGATCATAAGCTGGGCTTAGGAACTGAGAACAATGGCAGGGGCGCCTGGGTGGCTCAGTCAGTCGGGCATTCGACTTTGGCTCAGGTCACGATCTCATCGTTCATGGGTTCAAGTCCTGCATTGGGCTCTGTGCTGACAGCTCAGAGCCTGGAGCCTGCTTTGGATTCTGTGACTCCCTCTCTTTCTGCCCCTTTCCTGCTCACTCTCTCTTTCTCTCTCAAAAATAAACAAACATTAAAAAAAGTTTAAAAAAATGTATTGAGAACAATAGTTTAATAAACTGGTGGAAACAATATGGCTTAGAGTGCAGACATTAGGGGGCGCCTGGGTGGCTTAGTCGGTTAAGCGTCCGACTTTCGCTTAGGTCATGATCTCGCGGTTCGTGGGTTCGGGCGCCGTGTCGGGCTCTGCGCTGACTGCCAGCTCAGAGCCTGGAGCCTGTTTCAGTCTGTGACTCCCTCTCTCTCTGACCCTCCCCTGCTCGCGCTGTCTCTCTCTCTCTCTCTCTCCTAGAAATAAATAAAAAAAAAACATAAAAAAAATTAAAAAAAAAAAAAAGAGTGCAGACATTAGTCTGGTTTTCATGTATAAATCTACCAACTTCCCTAGAAGCTTTTCCCAAACTATTTTGTACATAATGCCCTTCATTTATAATCAGAATGAAAATTTCAGCTAAACAGTTTATTAAACTGAGTTACTGTGTATAATGGTGTGAAATTTTTTTAAATCTGTCCAAAAATAAGCACGCTCCTTTTTTCCTTCAAACATGCTGGCAGCAGGCAGTATCCTCCCAAAGCTTTATGCACTTTACTTAACAATGGTTAACTATCCAAACTGTCTTATGCCTCGTTCAATCTAAAAACGTCTAGTAGCAGGACAGGAGGGAAGTATTTGAAAGGGCTTTCGCCTTAAATGTTCTGTGTTCACTCTAGGCTACTTGGAGGGTTGAAGGTGCTGTTTGGGTGGGTTCTTCATTAGGGATTCATTCATTCATGAGATGTTTACTGAATGCTACTATGTGCCAGGCACATGTTAGGTACTGAGTGCACAGAGATGCTTAAGAGCTGAGATCATGACTAAGCAGACAATCCTAATGTCTGATGTGGTATATTCAGGGGAAGAACACCTAACCCAGTGCAGTGGGAAGTGAGGGCATTTGGGATGGGATGGGGGAGGTGCTCAGAGATGATTTTCTAGAGGAGAATATCTCTGAACTGAAGATGTACCAGCATAACCGGAAATCAGCTGGCAGAAGAGAGGAGTGGAACAGGAGAGGAGAGAGGTGCTCTGGACAGGGCGGTACCTTGGACAAAGTGAAATGGCACAGCACGAGTAGGCCTGTCCAGAACGTACATGTGATGGATGTGGGTTGCAAGACCAGAGGCAGAGGAAGTGGGGAGGGGGCTGCGCCTGAATGGCTGCGTAGGCTTTGCTGGGAAATGCGGATTTCACCACTGAAGTATTCAAGCAGAGAAATGCCATGATCAGATCTACTTTCCAGAAACCTCACTCTGGTGACTGAGCCGGTGCAGAGAACTGGAGGGGGTGTGCCCAGGACCTCGGGGACAGTTGCATCACAGGCAGTGGTTGGAAATATATAAGTGAGGCAGGAGGGTCTTAGAAGGGGAAACAAGGACTCATTGCACATGGTATATTAAGGCACGACCTGCAAAGGAGGGAAGGATGGGGTGGGAGCACCCAGGCTTCCAGAATGGCCAAGCAACAGCAGTCAGAGCAGGGTGACAGGTGTACCAGGGGAAGGAGAGTGCCAACAGCGCCTGCTGGAAATCCACAGCACCGCAGACTAGCCCTTGATTTATGCATCCCCTGGCCAGTGCCCTGTCTGGCTTCCTCTGGCTCTGGAGTGGCGGTGTGGGGTCTAGGAGCAGGTCAGCGGATAGGAGCTGTCATGAGTAGCAGGCAGACTGTGGTCTGGGGACTCCTGGTGGCCTGTGCCGTGAGTGGACAGTGCAGGGCTGATGT